AAGGCAGCCAACCTTCGGTGAAGCTCTTTACAACTACCACCTGGGATGTTTCCCCATATACTAACAGTTTTTTCATAGGGATGATAGTGCCCCCCCCCCCCTAGTAGAATCCCCATTAAGGACTGTTAGGTAGTAAGGGGGAAGCATCCCAAAGTACCGCCGATGCTTAAGAGTACCTGCTGTTTCGTACCATTATGTGCCAGATGGATTCTAGGACTCTCGGACCCGGGGTCGACCCTTGTTTCCTTTTTTGTAGGGTTGGGGATACCTTATATTCCCTTAAAAACCAAAAAGGACACTTCTTTTTTCCTAGGCTACTCCTGGGTCTAGGTCACCGCTTGTCCATGACTTTTGTGTTCAAGGCGCACGCATGACGAACAAAAGCAGCAGGAAACAAAAGCAAACTAGCTGACAGGCGCCAGGCAAAAGCCTTGAAGCCCCTACCGTCCTCCCGCTGTAATACCTTCAGCACCCCCCCCCCCCCCCCGCCCACCCTAAAGCCCTTCAGCGCCAAACTTTGTTAGACCCCAATGCCCGAGACTTTAAACGCACAAGACAACGAGTTTAGTTTAGTGTTTAGAGTCGTTTTTTCAAGCACCAACAAATCCCTAAACCCTGAACCCTAAGCCCTAAGCCCTAAACCCTAAATCCTAAGCCCTAAACCCTAAACCCTAAACCCTAACCCCCCTGAGGATCTCTCCCGACAGCCCTAAGCCCTAAGCCCTCAGTTCCCACACGCTGCCATGGCACCAAGCGCGCCAGCTCCGCTGCCTCCCCACCGGACCCTCCCGAAGCATGTAACCCTGAACCCTAGCGGGTGTACGGATCAGGGTTTAGGGTTAGGGTTTAGGGTTTAGACCTGCAACTGCCCTCTATTCGGGCTTAAATATCTACAATCAGGGGCCTTATAGGCCTTGACTCAGGGTAGTTGGTGGTGTCTATAGGTAACGGTTTAGGGTTCATAGCGTTTAGGGTTTGGGGTTTTGGGTGTAGAGTTTCGGGTATATACCACAAGTCCTAACCCTAAACCCTAAACCCCAAACCCCAAACCCCAAACCCCAAACCCTAAACCCTAAACCCTGAACCCTAAACCCTAAAAGCAAGCCCTAAATCCTACAAGCAGGAGCTGGGCCGATGTGACTCCGCCTCCGATTCAGCCCCCGAACTACGCGCCTCGTCAATAAAAAACCCTAAACCCTCAATGGTTCCTTTAGGGTTTAGGGTTTAGGGTTTTAGGGTTTTAGGGTTTAGGGTTTAGGGTTTAGGGGTTTAGGGTTTAGGGGTTTAGGGGTTTAGGGCTCAGGGTTCAGGGTTTAGGGATCAGGGTTCAGGGTTTAGGGTTTAGGGCTCAGGGTGTAGGGTTTTTGTCTAGTCCAGGTTTCTTTGCTAGTTTATTTGGCTATATAATAGACTTTTACTGGTCCGGTGTCTTCATGGGCCCACACCCTTCACGCTCACAGACCCACACCCCAAAGCCTTAGGCCCTAGCCAGAGTATGGATGTTGCTTGCTTTCTTGGACATGTTTCTTGTTTTGGCGGCCATTCTAATGCATGCATATATATAAAAAAATAGGAACAGGGAAGTTGCCATCATCGAAAATGTCGTTCCTGTCATCTGAGGGCATAAAGAGAGACACAGCCGGGGGCTTGCAGGAGGGAGTCCTTGAATATACTCCTAATACGGTGCCCCCATATTTCTGCAGGGATCCTCAAACAGGGGACCGCAAAAACCCAAGGTTTCAACACAACCTTAAGGGTCCAAAGTAGAACCCCTAGAATTCCCAAACCCTAAACCCTAAACCCTAAACCCTAAACCCTAAACCCTATAACCCTAAACCCTAAACCCATGTCAGGCACCCCCACTGCCACCGTGGCTGCCGGCGGGGAAGCGGCCCCTTTGCCACTCCGCCCATTTTCGAGCTTCAGGGTTGAGGGTTTAGAGTTGAGGGTTTAGAGTTTAGGGTTTAGGGTCTAGAGGATTTAGGGTTTAGGGTTTAGGGTTTAGGGTTTAGGGTTTAGGGTTTAGGGTTTAGGGCTAGGGTTAGGGTTTAGGGTTCACGGTTCGGGGGTTTAGCATAGGGTTTAGGGTAGGTGTTTGGGGGTGTATGCGTGGGGGTTAGGTTTTCGGCCTGTTTTGAGAACGGATTTGACTTTGGGGGCTAAGCAAATCAACACGGCCTCTTTCGCGGGTGCCTGGAGTATACGACGAAGGCGTGAACAGGCAACACCCCTGGTTCTTAGTAGGCAATGAGAGTATTCGTGTCCCTATGTATACCCTTTAAGGGATTGTGTAGGGAGAAAAAAGGGCACAATCTGTTAGCGTCTATGGCCTGGTTTGTTGTGACTCGCCCGGTTTCTTCTAAATCTGCAGGCCCTGAACCGTGCCATCACCCAAAACTCCCTGCACCCCAAAACCCCAAACCCTGAACCCTGAACCCTAAACCCTAAACTCTTACAAACCCTAAATCCGAAACCATATACCCTAAACCCTAAACCCTAAACCCTAAACCCTAAACCCTAAACCCTAAACCCTAAACCCTACACCCTAAACCCTAAACCCTAAACCAGGGACGACCCCACGACCCCTCAGCGCCAGCGACTCGCGGCCCACGAGCGCTCGCCCCTCCGCTGCGCTTCCTCCCTTTTTTTCCGTTTTGTTTTTTGGGGTCCCCCCCCCCCCCTGTTTCTATTTTTTTTATCGGTCGTGGTCTAGGAAGTTTAGGGTTCAGGGTTTAGGGTTCAGGGTTTAGGGTTTAGGGATTGATTCGGGTTTAGGGTTTAGGGCTTGGGAAGCTTGCCTTCCTGAACAGCTTAACAGCCTCATACCGGCTTTTTCACACCAAACCCCCCAAAACCTTCAACCCGATCAGACGATGAGTCACAAACGACCTGAGGCTTCAGGTTCTGAAGGGAGTGCTTGCTCAGGCTTTATTACTGCTGAGGGCCCTTTTTCAACCCTGGACCTAAACCTTAAACCCGAAGCCCTGAGCCCTAAGCCCTAAACCAACGAACAGCTACCCGTTCAAATGAAGAGGCCGCTATGTAAGCACTAGGATTTGGGTGTCTTGCCTGTCAACATATATATATATATGATGCTGCTACCCTTGAATTAAATATGATAAAACCAGGCAAGGGAGATTGAGCGCTGCTGTTTATCCAAGCAGTCGCTGTCTTGATGGCTTTCAACTCCAAGACCAAGCCAACTTGTCACAGTGGAAAGGTTTGTGGTATCGAGTATAGAGGTTGAGAGGCCGAGGGGTTGAGAGGCTTAGAGGCCCCAGAAACCACAAGATTCTCGCATGCACTGTATCATTTACGACCTTCCTAGCACCATCCAACCTTCGGTGCGGATGCCACAATAATTAACATATGACTGGGTGGTTGCCGGCACGTCTTGAGACGCAGCCTGATTGACCGAGAATTCCACGTCCATTGCCGTATACTTAATGCCCTCTATACAGAAATATATATATATATATAGAAGCCAACAGAATCCATGAGAAGCTATACTTAAGGGTGCCTGATTCCTTCATTCTCTGCCAAGAACCAGTATGTACACGCTGCCTGCAGCTTCTGACAGCCGAGGAACAACGACCTCCGCCTCACGGCCGACAAGCGCACAGGCGACCTCGCGCCCAACAAGTGCAGGTGCACAGGCCTCTATGGCCTCAAGGCCCACGAGCGCCCGCACGCCATCGCGGCCGCCCAGCGCAGCGGCCGCCTCGCGACCTGCCAGTGCCCGAAACCCTGCGCGGCCAAGCAGCGCCCATGCGCCGAAGCGGCCCGCGAGCGCACGGCCGGCCTCCAGGCCGGCCAGTGCCAGACCGGCCAGCGCCAGGCCCACCAGCGCCCGGGCCTCGCGGCCTCTCAGTGCCCAGGCTGTCCGGCCGGCCAGTGCGCAGCCCGCACGCCCAGCACACAGCTTCTCGGCCGAGTGCGAGGCCCAGGCGCCTCCCCTCGCGCCGCCGCGGCCGGCGAGCGCGCCCAGCGCGCTCAAGGCCTCCACCCAAGCCAAGGCTCACGGCCGGAGGTACTCATACAAGGATTGGCACTGGCCCAACCAGGACACGGTGGGGAGTTGGGTTTAACGGTTTCTTTTAAGGTTTTAGGGTGTTTTTAGGTTTTAGGGGGTTTTAGGTTTTAGGGGGTTTTACGGGTTTTACGGGGTTTTCATCAGGGTTTAGGGGGCTTTAGGATCTTCAGGTTGTGAACGGGCACCTTCTTCAGTACGTCTGAAAATCCTTTGGGTCGAAGCAGCCTCTTTTTGTTTTGGAGCTTAAGATTCTTCCTAAGCCCTAAACTGCCCTAGACCCTAAACCCTAAACCCCAAACCCTATAATCCCTAAACCCTCAACCCCAAACCCTAAACCCCAAACCCCAAACCCTAAACCCTAAACCCTGAAACCTAATTGATATCGGCGAAACTTCTGTGCTTCGTTCTTGCACTGTGGACGATGCCTGGGAGCTAAATCCCTAAGGCCTTCAGGTTGGTTAGGGTTTAGGGTTTAGGGTTTAGGGTTTAGGGTGTAGGGTTTAGGGTTTAGGGTTTAGGGTTTAGGGTTTAGGGTTTAGGGTTTAGGGTTTAGGGTTTAGGGTTTAGGGTTTAGGGTTTAGGGTTTAGGGTTCGCGCGAGATAACAAGCGAAACAACGTGTGAAGGCGACGAATACGAGAAGCACGCGTGTACTTGCTAGGCATGCAAACTCTGCAAACCCTCCAACCCCTACAAACCCTACAATCCCCAGAAACCCTATAAACCCTACACCCTAAACCCCAAGACATTTCAAGCCCTAAACCCTAAACTATAAACCCTACACCCTAAACCCTAAACCCCGCAGCAACTCAAACCCTAAACCCTAAACCCTAAACCCTAAACCCTAAACCCTAAACCCTAAACCCTAAACCCTAAACCCTAAACCCTAAACCCTAACGAGCCAGGAGGAGGTGGACCCAGCACTTCACCCGGCCCTGCGGGCCTTATCTGCCGAGCAGGCTGCCCACATGCTCAAGGAGGCGCCAGGGTTTTAGGGTTTAGGGTTCAGGGTTTTAGGGTTTAGGGTTTAGGGCTAGGGTTTAGGGTTTAGGGTTTTAGGGTTTGGGGTTTAGGGTTTGGGGTGTTAGGGCTTCGGGTTGCGGGCTCAGGGTTCAGGGTTTAGGGTTCAGGGTTTAGGGTTTGGGGTTTGGGGTTTAGGGTCTTGGGTTTAGGGGTTTAGGGTCTGGGGTTTTGTTGTTGAGGTTTTTGGGCTTTTGGGGCTTGGGGTTTCGTGAGGGCTTGGGGCTTTGGGTTGTTAGGGTTTAGGCTTTAGGGTTCAGGGTTTAGGATTTAGGTGTGGGTTTAGGGGCGGGGGTCTGTTCATGTAGGGGCTTGCTTGGGACTCGAAAGTGGTTTTGCTGCCTAGCCCTTTCTGTATCACAGCAGCAGACGCAAAGTAGGTTCTCGTCAAAGATGGTTTGTTTTGTTGTGGCGCTTTTGGGAACATAAGCTTCTCGCTGCCCTAAGCCTGTGAGCTGGCAGTGCCCCAATTGCTACTTCGCGGACCCTGTGCATCAACCCTGAACCGCTGGTGTGAAGTAGGTTCTGTTCAGGGGCTCAGGGGCTAGGGTCTGCGCATGGTGTCTGTTCTGCGAAAGCATCCCGAACGCCAGAATCGCTAGAACGAAGAGAGTCCACTAAGCCCCTTAACCCTAAAACCCTAAACCCTAAACCCTAAACCCTAAACCCTAAACCCTAAGCCTGACAGTCGCTCAAATCCTCAAACCCCCGGTAGCTCACCAACACCCCCCGATAAATTCACAAACCGCTACACCCCTTCATAAACCCCCTGATTCCCAAACACTTCGACCCTAAACCCCTAAACCCTAAGCACTAAAACCCTAAACTCCTAAAGCCTATTTCCTGTAAACCCTAACCCCCCCCCAAACCCCAAGCCCCAAACCCCAAACCGCAAACCCCAAACCCCAAAACCCTAAACCCCGTAAACCCCCTTAAAGCCCTAAACCCTGAAACCCTGAAACCCTAAAACCCTAAACCCTAAACCCTAAGGTCCCTGATATGGGCCCCTCCTCTCGTCCCTTGAGACAGGCCTTCGAGCGGACGCACGGCGACGTTGAGGAGGCCTCGGCCGCCCTCTGCATGGCCTTCCGCGAGGCATTTTTTTTTTTTTGTTTTTTCTTGTTGGGGGGGGGGGGGGCTTTCAGGTTTAGGGTTTAGGGTTTAGGGTTTAGGGTTTAGCGTTAGGGTTTAGGGTTTAGGGTTTAGGGTTTAGGTTATAGGAGTTTCGCTATGGGGTTACAGCGGTTTTGGCAGTGTAGGGGTCAGGGGTTGAGTTGCGGTTAGGGACTTGATAGGTTTAGGGTTTCGGGGTGAAGGGCCAATTTGGGGTTGAATTGGGCGGTTTGGGGTTAAGGCTTTAGGGGCTTAGGGAAGACCCTTTCGGTTTAGGGTTTAGGGTTTAGGGTGTAAAGGCTTAGAGACTTCCAGCGGCGGTGGTTAGAGAGCTTGGGGGTCAAAGGGTTGTCGGGATTTCTTCCTGTTTTTGGCTTGAGTGCAGTTTTTTGGTTTGTTGGGGCCTATAAACCCTAACCCCAAAACCTGAACCCTAAACCCCAATGGACCGAACCCTCAACCCTAGAGACCTGAACAACCCTCACCCGGCCCCTCAACCATGCGCACGTAATCCCTAAACCCTAGCCCTAAACCCTAAACCCGAAACCCTAGCCCTAAACCCTAAACCCTAATCCCATATGTCCCTTAAGCCCCCGAACTCCCAGACCCTTCAACCCTAACACTGTAAACCCCCAAACCTGTAAGACCACACCATAAACCCTGAACCCTAAACCCCGAATCCGCCAAATCCCTAAACCGCTAAACCCTAAACCCTAAACCTCAAAACCCCAAACCCTGAACCCAGAAATCTAAACCATAGTCCTAAATCCGATAGACCCTAAACCCCAAACCCTATACCCTAAACCCGAAGGACGGCGTGCCCGAGGAGCCCCTGCTGCGTCGCAGCCAGAGCAGCCTTGGGAGTCGGAACCACAGCAAGGCCGGTTTAGAGTTTAGGGTTTAGGGTTTAGGGGTTAGGGTTTAGGGTTTAGGGCCTTAGGGTTTAGGGCCCTTAGGGTTTAGGGTTCAGTCTTGAGGGCTTGGGGGGGGGGGGGGGGGTTAGGGTTTAGGGTTTGGGATTCCGGGTTTAGGGCTCGAGCACCCAAGAGAACAATTGGGATCATCTACCCTATGCTACTAGAATATGTGATGTGAGCACCACAAGCCCGTGTAGGGTCGTCCCTTGAGTTACTCAGGCACGGGCGCACTAAACCCAAAACCCTAAACCCTAGACCACCGATTGCATTCAGGTGACCATCTACACCGACCATGGCAGTGGCAGCGAGAGCGAAACTGGCTCGCAAGTGGCTTTAGGGTCTAAGGTTTAGGGCTTAGGCTTTGAGAAGTTTTGTGGTTTAGGAACCTCTTGCGAAGCATCCCAAAGCCCAAAACCAAGAGCTGCTTGGGAGTGTGGCCATCCCGCCCAAGCAACAGAGAATCTAGGTGAGGTGTAAGGGTTCAGGGTTGAGTGTACACCCTAAACCCCATAGCCCTAAACCCTAAGCCCTTTCTTTGATATACATATGCATATACATCGTATGCATACATATATACATACATATATACATACATATATACATACATATATACATACATATATACATACATACATATATATATATATATATATACATATACAGAGATGTATGTATGTATATGTATATATATATATATACACATGTAGATGTAATGTTAGACCATTCTGTGGTCAATCGGTACCGGTGTCGAGCCAATTTGTGGTCAATCGGACCGGCGTTGAACCAGTTTTTGTGTCGAACCAATTTGTGGCCAATCGGCACGCCGGTGGTGAACCAATTTGTGGTCAATATTCCGGTCTGTCAGGACCAGTGTTCGGCAAATTCCGGTCAATGCGCACCTCCTAGGCGAGCCTGCGTCAAGAAGTATAAGCACCATTTTACCTGTGTCCATCGAGCCTCTGTCAAAAAGAAAAGTCGCCACTACAATACGGACATTTCTGATGCTCGGACTTGAGATGCTGAACCCTAAGCCCTAAACCCTGAACCCTAAGCCCTAAACCCTAAACCCTAAACCCTAAACCCTAAACCCTAAACCCTAAACCCTAAACCCTAAACCCTAAACCCTAAACCTACCCAATTTTCTGAGCCAAGAACCTCCCTACAAGCCGTAAATGTACGCACACGGACGGGCTGGGGGTTCCTAAATGATGGTCAAGTCAACTCTGCAGTTTCGGGTTTAGGGTTTAAGCAGCAGAAGATTTGAGGGTGCCGGGTGTGCCTGGACACACATTCCCATGAACCTTCCTGCCTCCAAAACCCGCAACTTCTATTCAAAACCCTCTTCCCAACACCTCGACTTCTACCCTAAACCCTAATCCCTAAACCCTAAACCCTGAACCCTGAACCCTAAACCCTAAACCCTAAACCCTAAACCCATCCGTTCACCAACAAGGACTTCGAGCTTCCCAAGCCGCAAGAACCGAGCTACGTGCAACTTGTCCTGTTCCCTCCCCCCCCTCCCCTCTTTTGGGCTTATAGGGCTTAGGGCTTAGGCCTTAGGGCTTAGGGTTTAGGGTTTTGGGATGTTGATAGAGTTGAGGGTTGGCAGGGTTTAAGGTGCAGGGTCTAGTACAGAGAGTTGAGGGTTTATTGCAGTAGTCGTCCAAGTAGCAGTTGCTGGATAAAGTCGTAGCGGCCGAAGTCTTAGATTCTGCTCGGCTAACTGCCAGCAGCCTAGAATCAAAAGCCCAGCTCTCGATCTTTCACGGTTCTCGTTTCAGCCGGCCAGCAGTTGAACCTGAAACCCTAAACCCGAAACCTTGAACCCTAAACCCTCAACCCTACACCCTAAACTGCTGGAGCTTTTTTCTGCCGTTTGTGCGGTTCCGATGACTCTCTGGCACCTTTTTTGTTATGTCTTGGCGTACTCAGAACCCTCACCCTACAATCAGAGGCCTAACCCAAGGTTTAGGGTTTGGGGTTTAGGGTTTAGGGTTTAGGGTTTGGGGTTTAGGGTTTAGGGTTTAGGGTTTAGGGGGTCCAGGGTCCGAAAGAACATGTCCGACCTAGGCAATATTACACAGAGCGCCGCGCACGCAGCCCGCCGAAAGAGGGCAGGGCTGAGGCGGAGGAGGAGGCGTCGGGTGCAGATTTTTCGATGTTTAGGGCTTGCGGATGTCTGGGTCCCTAAACCCTAAACCCTAAACCCTAAACCCTCAACCCTCAACCCTCAACCCTAAACCCTAAACCCTAAACCCTAAACCCTAGCCCTAAACCCTAAACCCAAACCAGTCATAGAGTGTTGGGTTTGGGTGTTGGGGGTGTTCCGCCCTGTACCAAGAGTCCTTTGCAGGGATTTTCGCACCCCTCCTATACTCGAGTTTCGGCAATGGATCTCCATGTAAGCCTTTTTTCTATTCTTACAGTGGTTTAGGGTTTAGGGTTTTCTAGTGGCTATAATTTCCGCAAGAACCTGTGGAGGAAAATGTAGGTTTGCGCTTCTCAGAAGGCGCTGGACCACTTTCATCACCAGACGCCAAAAACAAGTATTTCTTCGGTTTGGCTGCATGCCGACCTTTTCCCCAAACCCCCAAACCCTCTGTGGTCAGTTCCCTAACTTGTGTTCCCCTTTGGGGGTACCCTAAATAAGTCGGGGCCTTATAAATAAAAGTAGCTCCAAGAGGGACAGTGAACCTACTGTTTGCTTAAGAACCCCCCCCCCCCCCCCCCCAAAAAAAAAAAGCAGATTCTTCCCTATAAGGGTACTATGGGTGTTCTGATTTTTAATTTTTTCGAGGGGGGTTCTTGGGGTTCTAAGAGCCCTAAACCCTAAACCCTAAACCCTCTTAAGCAAACAGGAAGTAACCTAAAATGGGTTAAACAAACCGCCCTGCTGACAAGGTGCCGCTGAAGCTCTCGGAGCAAAGACCTGCTGACGCCCTTGCCGAAGTTGAGACGGACTCGACCCATGCATATTCGGGGTTTAGGGTTAGGGTTCAGGGTTTAGGGTTTAGGGTTTAGGGTTTGAGGCTTCCTGAGGACATATGCTTTTGCTTCTTTACCACCCAGAAGGATACTTATCATTTGTGAATAATAGGTGTGCAAAGTTTAGGGTTTCGGGTTTACCGATTCAAGTTGGGTTTAGGCCTTGGGCATTGAATATGGGTCATTAGCCCAAAGTTAAATCTTCAACTTGTTGGGTTGCAGAGTAATTATAGGTCTTGGAGCCTATGTTAACTTTGGGTTTGGGGGTTTTGGGGTTTAGGGCTAGGGGTTGCGGGGGGGTTTAAGGTTTGGGGGGTTTAGGGTGTAGGCTCTCACAGTACTTCCTTTTTTTGGGATACCTTTCCTTCACCCCAAACCCTAAACCCTAAACCCCAAACCCTAAACCATAAACCCTGATGTCCGGACAGCGCAAAGCGGAAGTCAGGCGCCCCAAAACAAGACATACGAGAGGGTATACTACAAACATTACCCCCCCCCCCCCTTCTCAGGGGCAATTAGACTCTAGGTAGCCCGTAAACCCTATAGGTCCTAACTCTCTCTTGGTAGCCCAGTGGTAACCTTTTGCCCGTTTTTGTTGGTTCAATGTTCCCTTAAACAGTAATCAACCCAAAATAAGGGTACCCGCATTACAATATGGCTGGCTACCAAGCCCCTAAACATACCCTAAACCCTAAACCCTAAACCGCAAACCGTGGGTCCTCCTCATTCCACCACCCAAACCCGACCATCCTCCAGGACGACAGCAATGGCGAAGTCTCTGAGCAGGTGCGACATCTCAGCGGTTTTTTTTTAGCGTTGGAAGGAAAGGCTTTAAGGAATAGTCCTTGACTTTCATCAGGGTTGCTCTTGGGACTCATGGCTTAAGAGTTTCGGGGGGATGTTCCGGTTGAAAGTAGTGGTGCACGTCCCTTGGCTGTTCAGCCTCATTTTCAGGATTTCAGGAGATGCACGGTGGAACCCTGGGGCCGACTGAGGACTGCCAGAGTCCGGACCAAAGTTCTTCCTATATAGGGACTTTGGGGCCCAAGTATATAATAATAAGGTACATGGACCCTTAGGGGAGCCTTTTGGTCCAGGTGCTGCGGCAGCAGGCCGTCGTCGACGTCAGTCGTATGAGCAAGGTTGGGGGCCCTAAACCCTAAACCCTAAACCCTAAACCCTAAACCCTAAACCCTAAACCCCCCTTCCGAGATTCGAGCCCCATGCAGTAGTGGCAGCGGTTCGGTTCCGGAGTCTTCCTCTGCGGGCAGCCTGGAGGCGAGCTCGCTGACCCGAGACCAAGAGACTGGTGCCACAAAGTCAGTCAGAAACAGACAGCGCGACGCCGACTCATTAGTGACTGGTGACGTGCTCGGTCTGAGTGCCTGGTAGGACAGGGCTGGCTGTCCAAAGTGACCTGTTTGTTCATCCCCATTTCTTTGCCGAGCGTCTTGTGTTTAGTCACAGTCATTGTTCGGGCTAGACCCTTCAACCCTAAAGCACTTCGTCGTTGTGCTAAACCCTGGACGCTAAACCCTAAACTCTGAACCCCAAAACCATAACCCTGAACTCGGTTGTCAGACTTCCTTACGCCCACGAGTTCATTGTGTTCTTAGGGGTTTGAGTGGAAATCAGGGGGTTCCTATATACAACATGATTGTTTTAAGAAACGGCTTGTTCATTCATCAGGGGTTCGCATCATACTGTTCTACAGCAGACAAGATTGATTGGTACTGTTGTTCAAGTTCCTTTACCGGGTTAAGAACCCCAAGCCTTGCGTTTCGTAAGCTATGCCTAAACCCTAAACCCTAAACCCTAAATCCTAAACTCTAAGGCTCCAAGCACTCTCATTGTAAGGTTTTTGGGCTCAAAGGCCATATTATGGCATACTGTTTGGGCATTTCGAGGCTAAGGGAAAGGGTTTGCCAACAACTAAGCCGCTAGGTTTCTCCTATTTGCTTAAGATCTCCAAAAAAAGGAAACATAGATAATTTCCTTTTTACCCTGTATATATATATATATATATGTTTTTTTTTGTTTTTTTTTGGGGGGGGGTTCTTACGCGAGCAGTAGGGTTCGGGTTCTTGAGAACATCCCAGAGCCCATCGAAGCAACAGCCCTAGCCCAGAAAGCCCTAAAACGAGCTCCTGAAAACCCGAACCCCTCTCCCCTCAACCCCTAAACCCTAAACCCCAAACCCCAAACCCCAAACCCCAAACCCTAAACCCTAAACCCTAACCCTAAACCCTAAACCCTGAACCCTATAAACCCCACGAAGCCTTGCAGGCCTCCCTGGAAGAAGGCAGAGACCTGCTCAATGAGGCCGGAATTGGGCTTGGGCTTTGGGGTTTAGGGTTTGGGGTGTGGGGATTAGGGTTTAGGGTGTTCCAAAGTGCCGCGGTCCCGACCCGCGCCAGGGGCGGGTCGGGCCACCTCGGTGCAGCGGATCCCACCCCAACCACCCAAACTACCGCCTTTTTCGGGTTTAGAGCGGTCTACCCTCCACAGCCCCCTATCAAGGGGGCTTACACCTCGAGTCTCCCCGCTGGCCGGGGTGGGACGCAGGGAGCGGGACAATCTGTTGTTTCACCCATACTGCGTTTAAGACACCCTCAAGCCCAATTCCGGACCCAAGCTCATTCATATGGCAGAATGGCGAGGGCCAAGCGCGGAAGGCCCGGCCACCCGCTGGCGCAAGGCCTTCTCTGGCCCAGCTTGGTCTTTGTTGACAGGACCTCCTATGCTGGGGTCGCACGTCTTGGGCCCGGCCTCCCCACCGACCGGGGTCGCGCAAGGGCCGGCGAGGGGCAACCCTGCGGCGACCATGGCGGGGCGTGGCGGGGGCAACCCTGGCAATAGCAAGGGCAACGCAAGGGCAGCCCTGGTGGGGGCAACCCCGCTGGCGGGGGCAACCCCGGCACGGGCAAGGGCCCTTCCCGCATCTGGGGCCCATATGGCACAAGAAGCCCTGCTCAGCAACAAAACAACACTTCATAGAGAAGGACGACGAAGCCTTGCCAGCGCGAATGTGAGGTATAAACGTATGTGTATATATACATATATACACATACATACACATATGTCTCAAAGGAGCTGGCGGGGGCCACTAATGGAGAACTTTGGCAGGGCGAGAAGCCTGAATAGGCGAGGCCAATTCCGGCGACCAACCCAAGTAGGCTGGCGGCAACCCCTGTCACATGTATATATGTCTGGAGTCGCCCTTCATAGACAAAAATGACGAAGCGGCAAGGGCAATTCTGGGGGGCAACCTGAGGGGGCCTAGTCGGCTGGCGGGGGCAAGCCTGGCGGGGGCAACCTGGTGGGGGCAGGGCAGGTGGGGGCAACATTGGTTTCTGAAAAAAACACCCCTGGCGGGGGCAACCCTGGTGGGGCCAGGGCAACCCTGGCGGGGGCAACCCTGGCGAGGCAGCCCTGGCGGGGGCAACCCTGGCGGGGGCAACCCTGGCGGGGGCAACTCTGGCGGGGGCAACCCTGGCGGGGGCAACCCTGGCGGGGTCCTGGGACAACCCTGACGGGGGCAACCCTGGCGGGGGCAACCCTGGCGGGGGCAACCCTGGCGGGGGCAACCCTGGCGGGGGCAACCCTGGCGGGGGCAATGTGAGGTATAAACGCATGTGTATATATACACATATACACATACATACACATATGTCTCAAAGGAGCTGGCGGGGGCCACTAATGGAGAACTTTGGCAGGGCGAGAAGCCTGAATAGGCGAGGCAAGGCGACCAACCCAAGTAGGCTGGCGGCAACCCCTGTCACATGTATATATGTCTGGAGTCGCCCTTCATAGACAAAAATGACTAAGCGGCAAGGGCAATTCTGGGGGGCAACCTGAGGGGGCCTAGTCGGCTGGCGGGGGCAAGCCTGGCGGGGGCAATCCTGGTGGGGGCAATCCTGGCAGGGGCAACCCTGGCGGGGCAACCCTGGCGGGGGCAACCCTGGCGGGAGCAACCCTGGTGGGGGCAACCCTGACAAGGAGCAACCCTGGTGGGGGCAACCCGGCGGGGGCAACATTGGCTCCCTGCAGGGGGCAACCTGGCGGGCAACCCTGCCGGGCTGGCCGGGGGCAACCCTGGTGGGGCAACCCTGGAGGGGCAACCGCGGCAACCCAATACAGCAACCCTGGCGGGCAACCCTGGCAACCCGGTGGGGGCAACCCTGCCAGGGCAACCCTGGCGGGGGGGCAACCGGCGAGGTGGGGGGAACCCTCCTGGCGGGGCCAACCTGGCGGGCAACCCTGGCGGGCAACCCTGGCGGGGTGGCGGGGACAACCCCAACCGGGCAACCCTGGCGGGGGCAACCCTGGCGGGCGCAACCCTGGGGGCAACCCTGGCAGGAGCAACCCTGGTGGGGGGCAACCGCAACCCTGGCGAAACCAACCCTTTGTGGTGCCCCCCTGGGGGCAACCGCGGCAAGCCTGGTGGGGGGGCAACCGGCAACCCGGCGGGGGCAAGGTGGGGCCAGGGCAACCCTGGCGGGGGCAACCCTGGCGAGGCAACCCTGGCGGGGGCAACCCTGGCGGGGGCAACTCTGGCGGGGGCAACCCTGGCGGGGGCAACCCTGGCGGGGGCAACCCTGGGGCAACCCTGACGGGGGCAACCCTGGCGGGGGCAACCCTGGCGGGGGCAACCCTGGCGGGGGCAACCCTGGCGGGGGCAACCCTGGCGGGGGCAATGTGAGGTATAAACGTATGTGTATATATACATATATACACATACATACACATATGTCTCAAAGGAGCTGGCGGGGGCCACTAATGGAGAACTTTGGCAGGGCGAGAAGCCTGAATAGGCGAGGCCAATTCCGGCGACCAACCCAAGTAGGCTGGCGGCAACCCTGTCACATGTATATATGTCTGGAGTCGCCCTTCATAGACAAAAATGACGAAGCGGCAAGGGCAATTCTGGGGGGCAACCTGAGGGGGCCTAGTCGGCTGGCGGGGGCAAGCCTGGCGGGGGCAACCTGGTGGGGGCAGGGCAGGTGGGGGCAACATTGGTTTCTGAAAAAAACACCCTGGCGGGGGCAACCCTGGTGGGGCCAGGGCAACCCTGGCGGGGGCAACCCTGGCGAGGCAGCCCTGGCAGGGCAACCCGGCGGGGGCAACCCTGGCGGGGGCAAGCCTGGCGGGGGCAATCCTGGTGGGGGCAATCCTGGCAGGGGCAACCCTGGCGGGGCAACCCTGGCGGGGGCAACCCTGGCGGGAGCAACCCTGGTGGGGGCAACCCTGACAAGGAGCAACCCTGGTGGGGGCAACCCGGCGGGGGCAACATTGGCTCCCTGCAGGGGGCAACCCTGGCGGGCAACCCTGGCGGGCTGGCGGTGGCGGGGGCAACCCTGGCGGGGGCAACCCTGGTGGGGCAACCCTGGTGGGGGCAACCCTGACGGGGGCAACCCTGGCGGGGGCAACCCTGGCAGGGGCAACCCTGGCGGGGGCAACCCTGGCGGGGGCAATGTGAGGTATAAACGTATGTGTATATATATATATATACATATATATACATATATGTCTGGAGTCTCAAAGGAGCTGGCGGGGGCCACTAATGGAGAACTTTGGCAGGGCGAGAAGCCTGAATAGGCGAGGCCAATTCCGGCGACCAACCCAAGTAGGCTGGCGGCAACCCTGTCACATGTATATATGTCTGGAGTCGCCCTTCATAGACAAAAATGACTAAGCGGCAAGGGCAATTCTGGGGGGAATGTGAGGGGGCCTAGTAGGCTGGCGGGGGCTGGCGGGGGCAACCCTGGCGGGGGCAACCCTGGCGGGGGCAACCCTGGCAGGGGCAACCCTGGCGGGGGCAACCCTGTGGCGGGGCAAGCCTGGCGCAGGGGCAACTTTGGTGGGGCAAACCTGGTGGGGTCAACCCTGGGGCAACTTTGGTGGGGGCAAACCTGGTGGGGGCAACCCTGGTGGGGGCAACCCTGGGGCAACCCTGGTGGGGGCAACCCTGGCGGGGGCAACCCCAACCCTGGTGGGGGCAACCCTGGCGGGGGCAACCCTGCGAAGGCAACCCTGCCAGGGGCCAACCCTGGCAGGGGCAACCCTGGCGGGGGCAACCCTGGCGGGGGCAACCTGGCGGGGGCGCAACAGCTTCTTCGGCCCGACCTCCCCCGCCGGGGTCGCGCGTCGGGGGTTAAGGGTTAATCCATTATTACATTGTGCCCTATGGCTAGCAGGGATGCATCAGGTGTGGCAAGCTCGATCTGCTTGGCAAAGCAAGCAGATCTCGAAGCGGTAGCGTTCAGTTGTACCGGCCGCCGCCTGGCGCGGGCGGCCTATGGTTTAGGGTTTAGGGTTAGGGTTTGGGGTTTGGGGTTCAGGGGGTACTGCCACGAAGGAATCGATTTCAGTTTTTCGCTGGGGTTCAGGGT